GCTGGGGGATTTGAGCTGGTGAGCTGTGATCTTGCTGTTTTGCTTCGCATTCGTGGTCGTGCTGCATCTTCATGGTGGGCGTCAGTTCGCTTCATGTATGGGTCGGAGGGGTTTGAAGCGGGTAGTGATGCAGCTGCAGTGCGGCTTCTGGTCTGTGGTCGTGTCTCATCTTCCGTGTGGGTGTGAGTCTGCTTTTTACGTGGAAGTGTGGTGGCATCTTGTGTGGCTGTCATGGGTGTGAGTCTGGTGTCATTCTTCATGTTAGGTAGTCGTCTGTTCATGAGGGCGGGTTTCCAAATGGCTGGTAGGCGGGAGGTATCGTCTCGTTTATTCATGCTGTGTAGGTGTTTTTCTATCTCTATGGTTTCTCAGATTATTATCTAATTATTAAATAAATATATATATATAATGGCCACTGTTGGAGACCCCTGGTTTTAATCCATACAGGGAGTCCTCGATTTACGACAACAACGGAGCCCTACATTTCTGTCACTAAGCGAGACATCAGTTAAAGAGCGTTTGGCTCCATCTTAGGACCTTCCTTGCCACACTGGTTAAGGGAAAAATGATCTTTTTAACAGATTAACAGAGTTGGAAGGGACCTTGTAGATCATCTAGTCCACCCCCCTACCCCCACCCCGAATCATTGCAGTTGATAAATTAGTCACCTGGTTGTTAAGTGAATCCGCCTTCCCCATCGGCTTGGCTCATTGGAAGGTCGCAAAAGGGGATACCGTAACCCCGGGGACGCTGCGACCGTCTGAGTTAGTGGCCGGGTGTATGAATTTGGATCACGTGACCCTGGGGACGCTGCCAATGGTCGTTAAGGGTGAAACACGGGGCTAAGTCACTTTTTTCCAGTTCCGTCATTCCTTCAAACTGTCACTAAAAGTGAACTGTTGTAAGTTGAGGACTACTTGTATGTGACATTGAAGAGACCAACAGAGAGCAGGCTGGGGGGAAAGCATTTTTACATAGAGGTAGCCCTCAACTTACAATGGTTCATTTAGTGACCGTTCAAAGTGACGACAGCACTAAAAAGTGACTAATGACCGATTTTCATACTTATGACCGTTGCAGCATTTTCATGGTCACATGATCAAAAGTCAGACGCTTGGCAAGTGACTCGTATTTAGGATGGTCGCAGACTCCCGGAGTCACATCATCCCCTTTTGCGACCGCCTGACTAGCCAAGTCCACGGGGAAGGCAGATTCGCTTAATGACCATGTTACTAACTGAATGACTGCAGCGGTTCACGTGACTGCGGCCAGAAAGGTGATAAAATGTGGGCAAAACTCACTTAACGACTGTCTCGCTTAGCAAGAGAAATTTGGGGCTCCGTTGTGGTCATCGTCGAGGACTAGCTGTAAACCTCCTGTCACGAGAGTGACCATCAAAGTGTATATTTTCAACCCATTCAACTCATTCCGGAATCCCTGCAGGGAAGTGTGTAAAAGAGTGCGCAAAGCCTTGTGCCAGGAAAACCAATAAGGACTAGATGTGGCATTTGTGTTGTTCCTTGCACAAAAAATGGGTTTTGAGATAGAATAGAGTATAGAATGTAGAATAGAATATAGAATAGAATGCAGAATAGAATATAGAATAGAATGGAATATAGAATATAGAAAAGAATATAGACCGGACTAGAATATAGACTAGAGTAGAACCGTGATGGTGAATCTATGACCCGTGTGCCACAAGTGATACACAGAGCCATTTGTGCTGGCATGCGAGCCGCAGGCAAACTTACCTCACTGCGCATGCGCCTGCCTCACAGCTGATTTTCGGCCTGTTTGAGGCCTTTTTTGGCCTCCCAGAGGCTTGGAACAAGCCTCCGCAAGGCTTTTCAGGACGAATTCTTCTTCTTCTTCTTCTTCTTTTTCTTCAGCGTTTGTCTCGCGCTCGGGCGAGGTCCGCTAATGTCCTTGAGTACTGCTTCCACACCTCTCTGTCTGCCACGTGTGTCGGGTCTGCCTTCGCGATCTCTAGATCGGCCTTGATCGTGTCCATCCAGCGTTGTTTAGGTCTACCACGCGGTCTCGCTCCTCCGACAGTCACCTTCATTACAGATTTGATGATGGATTCTTCCTTGGCGCGGCTCACGTGGCCGAACCATCGTAGCCGGGACTGCCTCATGACCGTGGGGATGGGCACGACGTTGAACCGTCTACGCACTTCTTCGTTCCTGACGCGATCGAGTAGGGTGAGGCCTACCGACCATCGGAGCATTCGCATCTCCATTATCTGGAGTCTGCTTTCGACTTCTTTGGTCGTCGGCCAGCACTCTGCGCCGTATATGGCCACGGGGCGCACCACAGAGTTATAGATTTTCGCCTTCAGGCGCATCGGCATCTTCTTGTCACAGAGGACGCCCGTGACGGACTTCCATTTGCCCCACGCTGCATTGATCCTGGCTGCCACCTCAGTTTGTAGTAGGCCTTCTTCCCCAAGAGTAGTTCCCAGGTACTTGAAGGTGGAGGCGCGCGGTAGCTCCTGCCCGTTCACGTGGATGGAGCCTGTCATTTCATTGTCAGTGGTCAGGTATTCGGACTTCTTTAGGTTCAGCCGGAGCCCGAACTGCTCGAGGCGGTCGTGCCACTGTTGGACTCGGTGCTCGAGTTCAGCCTTGCACAGGTTGGCCAGGAACACATCATCGGCGTAGAGCAGCGTCCATGGGGCGGGCGTGTACAGGTCGTGTGTAATTGTGTCCATCACCAGAATGAACAGCAGTGGTGAGAGAGCAGAGCCCTGGTGTACGCCGACGGTAATATTAAACTCCTCTGATATCCCAGCTGCCGCTTTTACACGGCTTTTGTGACATCTGTATAGGAGTTGGACCCATTGTACGAGCAGCTCAGGCACGCCGTGGTCTCGCAGTGCGTACCAGATGAGATCGTGCGGGACTCGGTCGAAGGCCTTTTCCAAGTCTAGGAAGGCGGTGTGGAGCGGGATTTTCTTCTCTCTGTGAGCCTCCATCAGCATCCGCACACCGAAGATGGCGTCGGTGGTGCCGCAGTTCTTGATGAATCCAGAATCCAGATGGGGGACGAGCGGTCTGCCACCTCCAAGTGGTGTCCCCTGGATGCGCGAAGCCGTCAAACGCTGACCGTAACTGAGAGCAGACCCTCCGACGACAGGCCCACGCGACAGGCCGGCTGGAGTACTCAAATGCCGCATCAACATGATGGAAACGTCCACTACAAAACACACGTCCAATGCTACCGCGTTCGGGGGAACCGACGGGCGCAGGAGACCATTGGCCTGCGCCAAAAATCAACGAAATGGTCCACGCGGAAAGCACGGCCGTGTGAAAAAACGCAAGCGGGGAACAGAGGACTGCCAGACGCTCAAGGTGGCCACCTGGAACGTGGATTCGCTGACTGGACGCTCGACCGAGATCGTCAGGGCCATGCGGGACAGGAAGCTGGACATCTGCTGCCTCCAGGAAACTCGCTGGAAGGGCAACAAGGCTACGACTATAGACGGCTACAAGATCATATACACCAGCTGTAAGGAAAACCGCGGCGGTGTAGCTGTGGTTGTCAGTCCAAGCTGGCAAAGTTCCGTCGCAGAAGTTAAGCGCCTCACAGAACGACTGATGATAATCGTCATAGCGACCGAGAGGCAGCGCCTACACATCTTGTCCGCCTACGCCCCTCAGACCGGATGTCACGAGGAGGAGAAGGATACCTTCTGGGAACTGCTCGACATCCAACTCAGGCAGATCCCACACGAAGACGACATCATCATCTCGGGCGACCTGAATGGTCATGTAGGGCGGGACAAAAACGGACACCAGTGCCATGGTGGGCACGGCACAGGCGATACGAATGAGAATGGCCAGAGGATCCTGGACTTTGCCGACTCCCATGATAT